AATCAGACTTGGTATTTTCCTAAGCTTGACCCTTTCTATCCCGAACGACCTTATCTGCCAATACCTGTCCAAATGATTCTCATTTTGTCTCCTCTGATTCTTTTTCGTCTAAGTTACCCAGAACTCATGAGGGAAAAGAACTAATGAAATTTACTTGCAGTTGACGCATCCGCTATCTCTAGGAAGTATCTGGAGAGGGGGTTCGTTGCTTCAAGAGTCGGCCCTGTTATCGACCCGGAGTGGACCATTTGACGGGGGGGTACTTGCCGATTCGGTGGAGACGGCCCGACTTCTGAGATTCGAGTCTTATGCTCGGACGAGGAGGAGGAGTACCCCAGACCACTTCCTAGAGGAAGAGGCATGCAACACGTCAAGCAATGCCCCTGATCAAGAATCGTCCGCAAAGTAGTCTGTCATCCAATAAGATTAAGAAAGTATGGAGACAACTATGTGTGTCGAATCTTAGCTTAGCGGTAGGCTGGAATAAATGAATTTGGCAACGCGTCTCATCAAGTCAAAACTAAGGCAGCCCGACTACCTTGTCGGTTGCGTTTATGTTATTGTCTGTAGCCAACTCCTCGTTGGCAGTTGTATGATTGTTTTGTGGAGTTCGACCCGGGATGGTCGGATTTATTTTGAATTTGAGTCATTAAATATATCGTATGATGATTGATTTTTTTTAGTTAAGATTGGATACGTTTCTATCGACTATGGTCGATTTTTTTTGATATAATTATTTGTGGATATTGTAACTTTCTTTTGACTGTGCGTTTAAAGGGACTAGGATCAATATTGGGTTTCACACTTGGTCGAAACCGTCCTAGTCGACCGGCGTCTTCTCTGCACCTAGGAGATCAGCGCCCTAGGAACGGACGACATTCGGGTCCGCTTGGCATTAACCAAGCGTATCTATACTACAGCGAACGAGCAAACGCCCTCGGCTGACCTACCTATGCAATTGCATCTAAAAGCTTTCGCATATGGGTCAGTAGCTCGGTAGGGATACGCCCCGAAGGGTGGTGACAACCCCTTAGGGAAGCAAGCTTATGCCCCGCGAAAACCTATCCTTTCGTAGAGGACCGCGGGATGTACAGCTGGCGCACCCGGCCAGAGCGGCGAAGGGACGACGCAACCGCGGCCGTCTCGGCGGCTCGCGGGATTAGTTAGGCGTCGTTCCCGAGTTGTCTCCTGATGTTATGTTTTGTTTATCTCCTGCGTGACATGGCCGGGAGGACTCCCGACCTTTGCAAAAAAGGCGGGAGCCGATGCGTGCGACAGCGCCACCCGTTGCTGTCCGCTGGAGCTGCCCCCTTCGCCCGTCATTCATCATCGTCGTTCGCAGGAGCTCGTCTTCCTCGCCCGCCGCCCATCGTCGTCGTCAGCTGGAGCCGGTCGTCATCGCCCGTCGCCGTTTGCAGGAGCTGCCCCCTTCGCCCGTTGTCATTCGCAGGAGTTGCCGCCATTCTTTTTCTTCTTCTTCTTCTTCTACTACTACTACTACTTCTGCTTGTGTACCGTGGACATTAGTTAGGTCGTGCGAGACTCGGAAGGTAAGAAAAACAAAAGGGAGGCCGTCAGGCACGTCGAGCCTTCCCCTGGTCTTCTTCTTCTTCTTCTTCTTCTTCTTCCCCCACAATCTTTCTTCTTCTTCTTCGTCTTCCCCTTTGTCCCCCCCTCTTCTTCTTCTTCTTCTTCTTCTTCTTCTTCTTCTTGCATCGGTTGACCTTCGTAAGTTAACGACAATCTTTATCTTCTTCGGCCTTTTGGCTGTTTGGGGCAGGGCACATCTTCGGCGACCTTAGGCAGTTGTCGCGAACGGCGAACAAAAAAAAAAAAAGGCCGTCCTCCTCCCCCTCCTCCGCTCCTCTTCTCTTCTTCTTCTTCTTCTTCTTCTTCTTCTTCCTCTTCTTCTTCTTTTTCTTCCCCTACAATCTTTCTTCTTCTTCTTCTTCGTCTTCCCCTTTGTCTCCCCCTCCTCTTCTTCTTCTTCTTCTTCTTCTTCTTCTTCTTCTTCTTCTTGCATCAGTTGACCTTCTGCAGTTAACGGCGATCTTTATCTTCTTCGGCCTTTTGGCTGTTTGGGGCAGGGCACATCTTCGGCAACCTTAGGCAGTTGTCGCGAATGGCGAACGGAAAAAAAAAAAAGGCCGTCCTCCTCCCCCTCCTCCGCTCCTCTTCTCTTCTTCTTCTTCTTCTTCTTCCTCCTCGTCCTTCTTCCTCCTTCTTCCTCCTCCTTCCTCCTCCTTCTTCTTCCTTCTTCTTCTCCCTCCTCCATTTGTCAATCAATCAATCTCCCCCCCCCCCCCCCCTTTCATTCGTCAATCAATCTCCGCCCTCCTTCTTCCTCCTCCTTCTTCCTCCTCCCTCCTCCTCCTTCCTCCTCCTCCTTCTTCCTTCTTCTTCTTCCTTCTTCTTCTTCCTCCTTCATCGTCCTCCTCCTTCCTCCTCCTCCTACTGCCCCTCCTTCTTCCTTCTTCCATCACATCATGCCATCCATTCATCCCATCTCGCCATCCATCCCTTCTTCCTCTTCCTCCTTCCTCCTCCTCCTTCCTCCTTCTTCCTCCTTCTTCTTCCTCCTCCTTCCTCCTTCTTCTTCCTCCTCCTTCCTCCTTCTTCTTCCTCCTCCTCCTTCCTCCTTCCTCCTTCTTCCTCCTCTTTCCTCCTTCCTCCTCCTCCTTCCTTCTTCCTCCTCCTTCCTCCTCCTCCTCCTTCCTCCTCCCTCCTCCTCCTCCTTCTTCCCCCCGCTTTCTTCCCCCCCTTTTCTTCCTCCTCCTCCTTCCTCCTTGTTCTTCCTCCTCCTTCTTCCTCTTCCTCCTTTCGTCACATCTCGCCATCCATCCCATCATCCCACCTCGCCATCCATCCCACCATCCCATCTCGCCATCCATCCCTTCTTCCTCCTTCTTCCTCCTCCTTCCTCCTCCTTCCATCACATCTTGCCATCCATCCCTACATCCCATCTCACCATCCATCCATCCCTTCCTCCTCCACCTTCCTCCTCCTTCCATCACATCTCGCCATCCATCCCTTCTTCCTCCTCCTCCATCCTTCTTCTTTCACCTCCTTCCTCCTCCTTCTTCCTTCTTCTTCCTCCTCCTTCTTCTTCCTCCTTCTTCCTCCTCCTCCTCCTTCCTCCTCCTCCTTTTTCTTCTTCTTTTTTTTTTTTCTTTTTTTTTTTCTTTTTTTTTTTTTTGGTTGGGAAGGCTCCATCTATTGATGGGGAGCAACACCTGCTGGAAATCGGGCCCAGCGTCCCTGTAAACAAGCATTTGTCATAAACCGTGCCACGTGTCACAACGTAAAGATCCTAAACCGTTGGTATGTCAACACGTACGCACGCAGTATTCAACGCGAGGAGCAGCATTAGTCACCCTCTGCCCATCGCAATCTAGTCAGAAACCCTCATCAGTTCTCCTAGAAAAGAATTGCAGCACTATGAGGGGGAGGGGGAACCAGAATAGGGAGATAGAGAAACTATTATAGCGAATCCCAGCTTCCGGAGTCAGCAGTAAACCACCCGGACTGCCCCAAACGCTTAACAACTTTGTTTCTCCTATGGTGCCACGTGGCAGGTTTACAACACAAGCCGAAATGAGAACCACCACATGGCAGCGCGTCATACACGCTGGAAGATACAATGAAGGTGCTGCCAAAGCATGAGTCCATATCCCACCCTGAAATACTCTTCTACCACCCAAGGACGATTGAGCAACATGAGCAAAAGGGGCATACAGAGCAGGATTCCTAAAAGCCAGAAACCTACTATCCACGTGGCGGAACCCAAATGACAAAAAAAATCAAAAAAAAAAAAAAAACACCGCGCCACCTTCCTCGACACTTCCTGTCCCCGCCACGTAGCAAAAGAACAGGTCATACTTTGTTAGCACGTGGCCAGAGCTGCCCTATCACCACGTGATAAGAGAATCCTCTAACTAACCCACCCCCTCACGAACCATTCAAACAGCCCTTTCCCCCTCCCCCCGGATCGTCAACACGATTGCAAGAGAGAGAGGACAGCGGGGGAGAGAAGAAGGGGTGGGCTTCTTCTTCTTCTCCTTCTCGTAATTGGAGGTGCCGCGCGAGAATTGCAGGTGCAGGTAGGAGTTTGTTGGAGCGCGCTGGTTGGTGGGAGCAGGGGAAAGGATGCGATTGGTGGAGAAGGAAGTCGGAGACAGTTGGAAACGGGAGAGGGAAGCAGGAAGAATATCGCCAGCTTGAGCACACCTTCGTCGAGGGTGACTTGTAAAGAACCCACACCGGCCAGCGACCCCTCGCTGTTCGTCCCGCAGGATGAAGCGAGAGAAAAGAAGCTGCAGGGCGAGGAGGTATGGAAGCACGTCGAACAAGAGCAAGAGGCTATGCCGAAGGGCCGGGAAGAGTATTGGCTGAAGTGTCGGCTATGCTCGACCATCCAGAGGGGCACACACACACAAGTAGTCGGGCATTTCATGAAGGTGCTCAAGCCGTGCCCTTTTCGGACGGGGGAGATGTTGCATACGCTGGTGGCCGAAGGGGCGAAGGTGTTGCCGTCAGACAAGAAAGCTCGCTGCTTGCTGCAGAATTATCGGCAGCTGCACAACATCTCGGAGGGGGGGGCGCAAGCAAAAGTTGGTGATGGTGACGCGGTAGTTCGTCGTGCTTAGAGGAGCCACAACCGCCGGTTCCCGCAGGTAGGGAGCCAGTCGAGGACACAGTGGAGCGGGGAAAGGAAAGTGCATCGGGGGAGGCGATCCGAGAAGAGTGTGATTCGGCTACAAGGCCGACTGCTATGCAGCAAACGACCATCAGGAGAAGGGTGGACAACGCAACCCAACAAAAATTGGACATTGCATGGGCGGAGGCAATGTTCCGGGCGTGAATTGCGTTCAATTTCCTGAACTCCGACACTACTATGAAACTCCACGAGGTGTACTTGGAGGTGGCCACCGCACGACCGAAGGTGAAATTGCCTTCAACGAAGCACATCCGAACTGTGGTGCTCGACTTCATCTTTCTACGCATTCAAAAGCAAGTGCAGCCTCTGACCGTATGCTGGGATGTCACGGGGTGCACTTTCATCATGGACGGGTCGACCGATCAGAGGGAAAGGTCTGTCATGAACTTCTTTGTGGCGGGGGAGCAGGGAACGGTGGCAACGGTGTCAATGGACGGAAAAAAGAAGACCGGGCCAGCGCTGGCCAGACTTTGGGAAAAGATTATGAGGGAGATCGGGCTGCAACGCATCAATGCAATTTGCACAGACAATGTGGAGGTCAACAAGAAGGGCGCGCAAATTTTGGAGTGGCGCACAGACTTGGCGGTTTCACGGATACCTTGGGTTCCGTGCGCTGCACATTGCTGCTCCTTGCTGCTTTGGGACATCAGCAAGTTGGATTGGATAAAGGGCACGATAAAGCGGAGCCACACCATTGTAAAGTTCATACGAAACCACCATTGCACGCACAGTCTAATGATGTCGTTGGACGACTCATTGTCGATGACGCGGCCGACGGAGGTCCGTTTTGGGTCAGTGTACATAATGATGGAGCGGTTGTACGATCGGAGGGCGGTATTGAAGCAGATGGTCGAAGGGAGCATGGTCGGGAGATGGAAGGCGATGCGGTGGTCGACGATCAAACTGCAATCCAAAGCAGATCTTGTGTTTTTCACGTTGCAGAGGGAGAGTTGGTGGCCGGAGTTGAAGAAGGTGGTGGAGGCAATGGATCCATTGTATAACTTGCTTCGAAGGATGGACAAGGACGGGATTGGACCGTCAAACCTTGTGGAGTACGACAAGCTCATGGAGAGGATGCTGGGGGAGGTGCTGCTTACCACGGAGCAGCGAGACACGGTGCTCGAGAAGGTGCGGGACCGCATGAAGATGATGCGGCAACCGGTGCATGCCATGGCCTTTCTTTCGAAACCGCGGCGGAGAGAGCCGAAGCGGTTGTTGGATCGGGACAACGCACTTGTGCAGAATGCGCTGAATTATTTACAGCGGCAGATCGGCGGTCCATGAAAATCGGATGCCCACGTGAAGATTCTAAGTGATCTGCGAGAGTTCCACATGAAACCCACCGGCCACAACCCCCGGAGGAAGGACCGGAAGATGTGGGAAGAAGATGCTATGGCAGATTGTCACCTCATCTCGTCGTCGGAGTGGTGGGCAACTCATGGGGGTGATATGCCGAAGCTGCAGTCCATTTTAATCAAAGTAATGGGCATGTGGAGCACTGCAACTCCGGCGGAGCGGAATTGGTATTCGATGGACTTGGTCCACTCGAAGCGGCGGAATAGGTTGAACCCTTCAACCTTGGAGAAGTTGGTGTATATTCATTGGAATATCCAACTTTTGCGGTCGGGGAAGAACGTGAAGGACAACGGTTACATCGATTTGTGGGAGCAGTTCTTCGAGTCTTTGCCGGAGATGAAGGACAACGGTTACATCGATTTGTGGGCGCAGTTCTTCGAGTCTTTGCCGGAGTCGGTGGCGGACGACGGTTCTACTTTGAATGAGCCCGTGGAGGAGCAGGACAAGACGGAGGAGGAGCTGGTGCGGGAACGGGCCTTCACGAAGACACCAAAGGGCCGGATTCTGAAATGCCTCGAACACGAGGACGAGGAGGAGGAGCGAACCGACGACTGCGACCTTGACAACGAGGTGTGGAAGGGAAGACTCTATGGTCGGAGGCGTCCAGCGAAGAGGAGGTTGACGAGTCATCGGACGATGATTTCGAGTTGGGACTCCCACCTCCAATCCCGTGCACCACATATGTCGGGAGGAGGGCAGCCGCACAGCGCCGTCGAGAACGGCCGCCCACAACACCTTCTCAATGTCCGGCGAACACCGCAACGCACTACAACATCCAATCGGATGTTCACCTGCCGCAGACCGACACCGACATGGAGATGGTGCTTCGTGCACGTCCAATCGATACAGATGAGGAGGACGCCGACCGTGCAAAGGCATGGGCTGATGCGGATCGAGAACGGGTGCAAAGGAGAATGAGGGAGGAGGAGGAGCGACGCGCAGCTATAACGACCCGCAGAGAGTTGGAGAAAATGAAGAAGAGGGTTGGAGAGCGAGAATCGCAGCCAGTGGGGGTTGCGGGCCGGCTGGAAGAGGACAAAGAAGACGCGTTGGGCCAGCGAGAGGAGGAGGCAGAACAGGAGATTGGCCAGCCAGCACAGGAAGAAGAAAACATGGACACGCAAGAGGAGGAAGAAGATGATGGCATGGACCAGCGAGAGGAGGAGATGAACGAGGGTGACGGGGAGGGCGTGGAACAGCAAGAAGAGGACCTGGAGGAGAGTGGGAAGGAGCAGCAACAGGAATGATGGAGAACAGCGAGGAGGAGGTGGAGAAGAATGCACCGACGACCGTGTACAAGCGTTAGAAGCGAACTGCGAAGGCAGCTGGGTCACCAGAGAATTCCCCCGACTTCCCAGCCAACAATGCGGAAGCCCAACACAACAACCTGTGGGTCAGCAGGGTTGGGAGGAAGAGGAAGGCGCCCCGTGAAGACGAACAGGCGAAGCCTAAGCTTCCACGTGGCAGGCCTCGGAAGAACACGACCGCCTGTCCGGCTGCGAAGCTGAAAAAAAAACAACAACGGTGCAAGCCTCGCAAAAAAATTGTTGACGATGACCCCGAATCCGACAACTGCAGCAAGCAGTTGGACGAAGACGAGGGTGACACCTCGGACTGAGTGTGTGTGCAAAGGCTTAGTGTCGTGTGTGTGTGTGTGTGTGTGTGTGTGTGTGTGTGCCTTTCAAGTGCAGAGAGAGAGAGAGAGAGAGAGAGAGAGAGAGAGAGAAAGAGAGAG